CCAAAACATTAAATCATATTCTTATATTTAATAATCAAGCAATTTCTCCTACAAAACCTACAGACATAATTAGATATTGACATGTAAAATCATAAATTTTCAACGCCAATCAAATGCAAGTTTTTATGAACTCGCCATTCTAGATGGCAGGAAACCATACACTCTGTCATGCATGACTACGTTCCTGGTATGTTTGATCATGTAATCATGTAGCACATCGAAATCAAATATTTCCTAAATTATTGACTTCAATAAAGTATTTACGTGTTACATACGGTGCAGAAAACTTAAAAACTTCAATCACTTTATATAAAATAAAGGTTAACTAACTCATTGGAGATAAACTAAATTTGTCATTATCAGTAGCACTCTATTACATACATATAGTTCTTTGCTTATTGTTTTTATGGTTTTTATGCAAAGATAATTTAGGAATTATATTTTCGGTTTATGCATCATCTCTACATAGAATATTGAGGGTTTTAAATTTCCTGCACTGTACTTTATTGAAATCAATACTTCAAATTTAAAAGCCGTAATCTCTAGTATTAAGTAACACTTTGAAATCAAATATTTCCTAAATTATTAGCATCAATAAGGTAAGTGTAGGAGCATGTCGATTATTTTATGGAAATAGAACAATCTATTAAAACTAAATGGCTAACTCAAATAGATAATCTTTTGTGTAATGATCATCGTTGATAATTTCGTTAAAATTTATATAAGATTGCATTTTTAATTTTTAATAATTTATAAGAAGACATCCTTCTTAGTCAATATTAAAATCAACAACCGTGACTATTGCTCTACCATCAACATTTTTCACTATCTGAGACATAAACAATTCAAAAGAGTAAAAAAAAAAATACCATGTCAAAAGAAACTAATCCAACGAATTCAGAAATAGGGTTATCTTCGACACAACAAACACAAAATCGTTTAGGAATGTTGATAGGAAATTGGGGGTTTTTATGGTTGTTCTACATGCTTGGCCTTTCTTATTTTGGGTTTTCAATCTTTATTTTGCTATTAAAGATACTGTTGATTCCCATGGATCAGCAACCGACAAAGTGGTAACTGCTTGGATTGGAGTTGTAATGCCACCGATACTTTGTTTAATCGGTAGCTATCATTTAACTATAAATAATGATCCTTCTAAGAATCCAATTGGAGGTTGTAGTGTTGTTATCGGAGGCATTGCTAATATTGTGTTTGCAATAGCAAATCTAGTCAATGCGATAAAGAATAAAGGCGCGCCTAGCAGTTAAATGCAAACCCTATAAAAACTTATAGTTGAATTGTTAAAAAATTAGGGACATTCTAATGACCCAAACAACGGACCGGTCAATGACAGATTTCATTTAACTGAAATAATCATTTTATCATTAACTTTAAATTTGTTCAGATGTTCTTACACATATAGGCTGCTGTCAATAGATATCCCATTTTTAAAAAAATCGATGCCTTAACTTTCACAGCTCGTATCTCGCGGAATTTTGAGCTTTCTTTTCAATATTAAATTACAAATAACTTCAAAATTGAGTGAGATATCAAGATTTTTTTAAATTAAAATTTATACAAATTTACGCTTTATTATTTTATTTGGTTTGTTCACATGATTTATGGTCAATTCACAAATATATAATAAATTCAAAAATATTAAATATCTCTAATTATATTTTAGATCTTAAAGAATAAATTAATCACTAATCATATCGAACACTATTCTTTTATCTTTGTTTTTTTTTTTTTGATTTATCGCTATTTGCAAATTGATGTGACTTTTGATAAAATTTATAGATCACTGCATGCCCGATTGTCCGATAACGATCGATTGTATGCGATTGTACTTGATTGTACGTGGTTGTGTGCGGTTTCTTAGCGAATTTTTTTATTGAACTTTATGAATCTATAGAATTTAAATAAGAAAAAAAAAAGTTCATCGAATTTGATCAGGTGGTTGCTGAGATATCATCGCTCAAATTTTTTTTTTAAAAACAAGGTTAAAAGTGTAATGCTAAGGGAGTTTTTTATATAATAGTAAAAAATGATTAAATTGCGAATATAATGTCAGATTATCAAGAAGGTTGAATTATTTTTTTTTATGTATTACAGTCTCCCCTCATGGTGGACAGCTTTTGTATCGGGTTTGAGAGGTTATCAGATTTAAAATACTAAATAACCTGTCGTCACATGATCACAAATAAATACAATTGGCTGGATTATATTTCTTATAAATTGAACAAGTTACACAAACCCGATCTGAGCCAATCAAATCGGTTTACATTACCTGTCAGTTATCAGAAATGGCAGGTTATCAGATTTGAATCAATTACTTATCGGTTATTATTATGGCAGGTTATCGGTTTTGGGAGGATGTACTGTATATCAATTACTAGTTTGTCTATCTGAGATTATGTTATTATTGTTTTTGCTTTCACAGTATAGATAATTATTATTTTAATTATATTTACTATAAATATCAGTTTATAAAGCCACACAAAATTATATTCTTGGTTTTTATATTATAAGATAATAATTAGTGTCTAGCCACACAGCTTTTTTTTTATAGTAAAATAAGTTATAGTTATTGTATATAAATCTGGGTGTAACTAATTACACACAGCATGGGGACTTTCTCATTTTTTAGAAATACACAGTTTATCATAGCCAATCAAAAACTATTACCACATATACACATGATCTACTTTTAGATATTCATTGAACAAGATGGCTAATAGCAAGTATAATAATCAATTCTATAATTTAATTTCAAAATAAATAAAAAACTCATGTAGTAGAAGAATCATATTACTTTTTAAGCTATAATAACAGCTTTTACAGTTGTATAAATTTTATTAAAGAATTTTTAATAACAAGTTATATAATCTCTAATAGCACTCTATACTAGTGCTCAGCAAAATCGGGTAAAAACTTGATTTTTAAGTTTCATAAAAGTTGTGCATCTATTGGTTACACAAATCAGGTATCAGAAATAAATTTTATTTTTAGAACGAAACTTTGAAATAGCAATACTTAGCGCTTGCATATGTATTTATATGTATAAAAAAAAATACAGAAGTTTGTATTTTTTATTAATTTATTTTATTTTCTTAACAATCTATACTCTACTTTTTCTAATCACTATTTATTTTTTGCTCACTACATGCTTATTAGAATACGTTTATTGCAGATTTCATAGTGGCAACATTTTGTAAGACCAACCCATTTATATCACAGATCCTGGATTGTCTAGATTTGATTTTGCATTCAACTGATCATGAGCGATATGGGTCTGTCTAGTTGTTCAGAAAAGAGATGATTCTAAGAATAGTAAAGGTATGTCAGATTCAACACATATTGTCTTTTTTTTTATTTTTTGCAAGGTTTTTTTGAAAATAATTCAAGACTGTAAATAACTGATACTTGACTATACAGTTGACACATCAAAATCTCAGGTGCTAATAATATATGATAAAACTTCACAAAATTTATAGCAAGCAATATTCTTTTTATCTAAAAGTTGCAGTCTGAAATCAGCAAACATATCT